ATGTTTCTAGTGGAGCTGGTTCACTTTATATTGATTGCGTACCACCTTAGCAAACTAGAAATCACTTGCCAACGCAAAGATTTGTGCTTCTCTGTCTATAAACCAAGTTAATATCTCTAGTGTCCTTTGTTTGGAGAAGATTTACGCTTAAAATTGAAAGGTGATCTTTTTATGTTTGGTTCAGTATTTCTATTGACCAGTTCTGACTTTTTGAAACTAAACTTCAAATTGGACCAAACTGATGGTTTTAGTCACCAGCTTTCAGCAGCATTAGGCGCTACTTCTTTTTAATTATTCACTCTGTCCCCAGAATGAAATTAAGAGCTTTTTTCCACTTACTGATGCACAGCCATTAAAAACCACAGCCTAATGTGTTATTTACACATCTCTTATACATTAAAGTCTCATATTCCTCTTAATGTCACATATTTTTCTCAATTTTGTTGCTGAAAACTGGTTGGTGTCAAACATTAAATGCCAGCTGCGGGAGCTTTATTGCCATGTTTATTTTCATACTTCATACTCCTAAATCTCACTGTCCTCCTATTCAGTCAACAATGGACATTCATGAGGTCTTGAGATTCAGGAAAAAGGACTAGATGTTACAGTCCCTGATAGTGCATTGCTTTAGATGGAGAGACTCTTGAGGGATGGCTGTCATGAGGAAAGGCAGCCCAGAAACTTTACCAGCAGTACACATCGTTCTGTGCCTCAACTTTCGGTCTTACCCAGGCTAATCTGCCATTTTCCTTCCTTGGTTAGGTTTAGGGATTAGAGATCTGATCTAGATTATCATTTTAAAGTTTAGGACACATCGTCAGTAGTGGACCTTGGATTCATCGAGTGTTTCGGCCATTATCACTAGATCATATAAGGAGGCCCTGCCAGGGTTGATCAGGCCCTAGAGCGTGTCACTGGTTTATGTTAAACTGTTATTTTTCTTCTCCTTTCTTCTGTTTAGTTTCCTACAGTTTATTTTCTATCTATTCACTGCAACTGAGAAATAATACTTACCTCTTTAGCATTTATGGAGCCTAAATTCTTCAAAAGGGTAGAAATGATGATAGAGAGAAGTAACACAAAAGGGACAAGATAGGAGAGAGCAGAGAGGGGAGCCGGAAGGGGGGCGCCCAATCTGGCTTCCCAGACCTCCCCGCCGGATCGGGCTGTACGCTCCACCTCCCCACTGCCTCCCAGAAAAGGGGAGAAGAGCAGAATACAAGATCGTAACTAACAAACGAATTACAATTTTCCTCTTCTCCTCATCAACTTCAGTTAAGTCGTATCATTACTATGTGATATTAACACAAGTGTGCTACAAGCTAATGCTAGTCTACACCTTAAGGGAGTCCTGCAGTTAGGTCCATAAGTTTTTGAACATGTCATATTTGTGATTTTTGTCCCTGTACACAACCACAGTGGATTTCATATCAAAGAGCAGAGATGTGATTGAAATGCACGCTTTCATCTGCATCCACCTTCAGTTTCTGCTTCTTTGTGGGTCTTTCGGCCTTCAGTAACTGAAAAGCATGCTACACTGGGTTCAGATCATGTGACTGACTGGGCTATTGAAGAATACAATCCAGATGATTCTTAAACTGTCAGGATTTCCTTTTTTATAAAGACATCTGTTGATTGCTGACCTGTGAAAGGTTTTTTCCCCATCAAGTTTGAGACTTGAAATCAACTCCAGATGAACTCCAGATTTATCTGCCTAATTTGTCATTAAATAATGATGGAACAGGCCTCATGGAGCTGTAAAATGGATTACTTCTGAGCCCTTAAAATAGGGAAAAGATATATAGAAATTCCAAAACAGGTGATATAATGTACTTTTTTTTTCTCAAAATTACCCTCAAAAAAAATAATTCTCCCAAAAAACATGGACCTAACGAAAATCAGATTGCAGTGTGGCTGCTTGAATGATTGTTCAAGACTGAAATGATTTCTTTCAGTCTTGTTTTGTTAGACTTGAACTGAGAGGTACTTTTTTTTTTAAGAATTGCTACATTAACTTCAGTTGTGACACCAAACCTTTAATTGAATTTCCTTCCAACCCTATTTTGGAAAATCAGATTTAGGAAACACGAACCGCCACTAAAGGCACTTTCCACCCATTTTCTTTCTTTTTTTTAAAAAACTTATTTGTTGTGGTTTCCCAGACTTCATTCACACAAAATGGTCGTATTAGACAAAAAGCTAATGGATGGCAGCGGCAGCTAAAACGGAACGCTTTGTTGGTCATATTAGGTGGTTTATAGTCTCAGGTTTCAGTTGTCCAAGGAGTGCATTCTGAGTAATGTTTGTGGTTTTGTTTGCAATTTCTAGCTCGTTTAGTTTAGTTTTAGTCTAGTTTTGGAGAATGGCTCTAACAGCACAGAGTCCTCTGAGGTGTCTTAGTGCAGCTGTAAAAGTGGATCAAGATGTTTTCTTAAACACTAACAATGATCATCAATGGTAACTTGAATATGAGCATTATAGTTCTTTTTTTGACCTTCTAAGCTGCATTTCACCACCAAGCCCATCCTGGTGCTTTAACATATAACATACCAAATAATCACATGAGCTCCACCTGTTTGTCACATTGATGTAATAAAGTCAGAAGCTCCAGAGAAGCTACATTCAGGCTCATTACACACTGATTCTCTATTACTTTCTCCATCACCTGAGTACTTTATGTTTCACAACATTTTACAACAACGTTAAACATTTCACCAAACTACAAAACCCAGGAAGCCAACTATCCAACTTGTTGGGGTTATAACTAAAGAAACATGTCAGCGTTTACATAAATGACCAGGATGTTGACCATTTCTTCTATTCCATATTGCACCACCTCAACATTATTTTGAATGCTATGCTAAAGCTGAAATACGTCGAACATAGATAGACATGCCACGCTCTTAAAAACAGCACACCACTCTTTCAATAAAGTGAAAATGAATGAAATTCACAACTAAAGAGGTTTGAAACAGAATATCTGAATGAGTTTTATTTGTCCTTCACCGCTGCATCTGAATTAAACATTCATTTATTGCGACAGTAGCAAAGCTTGTTTATTGGTAGTCCAGTTTAAAGACAAAATTTACAGTTTGTACATTGTTA